GTCCTAGTAGTAGACCTGACAAAACTTTCTATAAAGGCCCTGTAAAGAGGGTGACTCCTCTGTGGGCCTTTCCTCTAGAAAGAGACATGTTTTTGTTTTTGTTTTTTGTTTTTCTTACTTCTCTTTGGAACTGACAGAAAGCAAATAGGGAGGCCTGCTAAGTTTGAGTTCAAGGCTTTGTGGGTAATAATTGATAACTGTTCAATATATAGAATACTTCTAGGACCTAGAAACTTACATCCAAGAAAACTCAGATTCTAAAGCTGTACAGTCCTCCAGTGAGGCCTCAATGAGGCAATGGGGGTAATGGACAAGGGAATTCTATTCCTACCCAACAGTATTTGATATGTACATCAAATAAGCAATCAGTGATTTCCATTTGTTTCCCATTCTCTCCATTCCTAAATAGCAGTCTTCCTTTAGTTTCATGTATCCTGTTGTTTCTCTATGATTCAAAATTATGGGAGTTCAGATAACCTGTCTTATAAACATATTGGCTGCTAAACCATAAGGGCATCCATGTCTGGGCCTGTTGGAAATGATGGCATCACTAGATGTGATTAGAGGGTGAGGTGTTAAAGTAGGCTCCCCAAGGGAAGGAATGAGTGCATGCCACCCAGGATGTATAAATGGGAAGAATGGTGTTATTGATGTTTAATAGCCCAAAAGATAGACTACTCTTACTTTTCTGTACTAGAGGCAAAGAAACTAAATTATTCATCATTACAGACTCTCTTGCAGCTAAGAGAAATCCATGACTCAGCTTTGCACGTTGGTAGGTGATCACAAGTTCCTGAGTTAGAATTCTGGGAAAGCTTTTAAAATGACAGAATCAGCCAGAATGGTCCTTGAGCCTTTTGTCCTTTTATTTTTATTCAATGGATTGGGGTGACATTGGTTAATAAAATTATATAAGTTTTAAGTACTGGCAAAACTGGAGATACAACAGCTGGAGCTTTAGAAAGCAACATATGATATGTATGGATGAAAGCCACTAATAAAGAATGGCAAAGCAGCCTGGATTTTGATATTACCCCAAAGCATTTGCCCTGAACTGCAGATCTATGGCTGTCTTATTCATAAGTAAGATAAACACTTAGAAGGTTAGGCTATTGTTAGCTGGATTTCTTAGCTCTCTTCTTTTTAAGTGTACAGAGACATATTATTTAGCCAATGACTTCTTCTAAATACCAAGTTGTCAACAAATAGGAATTAAACAATAAATCATCCAGTAAGTGATAATTGATTAATAATGTATTACCATTAACATGGATGAATGTTTTCTGTATACTTGGCAAGAATAGTAACAGCCAATATTCTCAACCCAGAGCTGTAGCAATCCAAGGAGAAAGGTTAAATTTTAAAAATTCAGAAAAAGGAAGAAGTTAATTCAGTCTTGATTCTCTAACACCTAGTAAAGTGCCTGGCACTTAGCAGGCAAGAAAAATGTTTACTAATTGATAATACTTATTATAGTCCTCAAAAACTGTTTTGTAATAACATAACACTTAAGGCATATATGATAGAATGTTCAGCAACAAATGTGAATTTAATGCATAACAACATTTACTGAATAACTAACATTTATTGAATTTTGGTATAATGTAAGTACTATGCAAAATTCTTTGTGTGTTTTTAAAAATTAATTCTCACAGTAGTCCCATAATGTAGGTATTATTAGACTTTCAGAGATATTTAAGTAACTTGGCCAAGGTTATAGAGCCAGGTGGTGTCTGAGCCAGTATTCAAGGCCAAGTTTCCCTCCCTCCAAACCTATGCTCTTAACCACTATGTATTACTAACATATTCTATATCTGCTCTCCTAAAAGAAACACATCCTTTGATCCCTCAAAACCCTTTTTGGCAGAACAGCAAGTATACAGAAAATGTTAGTCCATGTTAATGGTTATACATTATTAATCAATTACCACTTACTGGATGATTTATTATTTAATTCCTATTTGTTGACAAATTGGTTGAATTTTTCATATGCACACATTGGAATAAGTTAGCTAAATAAAGTGATTCACTTGGAAGGTTTCATGTTCACTCTAGGCTCCTATTGGGAACCTAGATTATTTGCAGCATTTTTGCTTTAAAATCCAGGAGGTGTATCCATCACAGCCTGCATAGTAGGATATTGATAAGAACAAGGATGCAGGAGGCAATTCACTGGACACTTAAATGGCAAAAAATATAGTGCAGTCTCACACACCCTGCAGACTGCAGGTTTATATGATAATAAATAATAGCTTTCACCAGGACAAAGGAAAAAAAAAACGCCATGAAATCCAATAGCTCAGTGAGAAATCTGCTAATACAGGTGGTCAAGCTTGTTCCATTTCATTGTCAAAGGGAGGCTATTTATTTGCTTCTGGGTAGTTAAATTACAAAGTCATTTACTGCTGAAAGTTTTCCAGTAGGCAGATGTGGATCTAAAGCCATGAGCTTTAGATCCAAAGTTTGTGAGAAAAAGGGGAAGAAGAATTTATTCCACAGACAGCATAATTGGTAAAGTAGAAATCTTTCAGCAACTCTAGAAGTAAAATAAAATAATGAAATAAAAGAAAGTACGTGTCTTTAAACATTCCAGGTGGAACCTCCTTACTGTGTACATTTGGGCATGAGCTAAGAACCAAAATGCTAGCTCTCCTAAATAATTTTCTTAGAGACTCCTTAAAATATTTTCTCTTTGATAATTTCCCGCTTAGCTGAGATGTCAGTGATGGAGATGGGTGTGTGTCTGTGTGTGAGAGGAGAGGGGGAAAGAGAGAGAGAGAGAGAGAGAGAGAGAGAATGAATGAAGGAGAAAGAGAAAGAGAAAGAGAGAGAGAGAGAGAGAGAGAGGAAATATTCACAATGGCTCCTTGGTAGTTATAAAATTAATGGCAACTTTTTCTGTTGATCCAGTAAGTACTACATATGTATTCTCAGACCATTTGAAAACTGGAGATTATGCACACTGTATTCATTATTTCTAAATTGTCACGAACTAGTAATTTCCAAAATTTGGTAGTTTATCAATAAAATTGATCAAATATACAATTTTTATAAGAATTTGTAAATTTCTTGTAAATAATTGTTTCCTTTAGGTCCCAATTTTGCATATGCATAACACCTACAGTTTTATCACTTGTTTCCTAGGTGTAAGTCACTGCTTAAGTCACCAAGTAACTTAATTCTTTGCCAAGTAAGTTTTAAACGAAGACATGTACATAATTTTCTTATTAATTGCGAATATTAACTTCATCAATCTTAGCTTGTGACCAAATTCAAAGCTTCCACGCATAATCCAGATGAGGAATACATTACACAGCTGAAAGAATTCAAACTCTAATTTATATTGCCTTGAAAACAATTAATGAGTCATAAAGAGCAATGAGTCTATCAAAGTAATCTATATGTGAAGTGACCCACAACAGAAGGTTAACAGATATTGATGGTATCAGTTTGCTAGAAGACAACCGAAGATGAAGAAAACCAAATATCCCAAGTCCAGTGATCTGAACTTAAAAATGCAAAATGTTCTCAGTGAATGTTAGCCATCCTAACAAAATTCCAATGACTGAAAATTTGATGACTCTGTCATTATATCACTCAGCTGTTATGGCAATAATTAAGAGTATGTGTATACATGCATATGACATAAATGCATTTCAAGATCTGCTGGCTCTTCTATCTAACTTTTGAGAATTAGAGATAAATAAACTCAAACAGTAATAATCAGAAAAAATATGTTAAAACTTAACTTGCATGTAAAACAAATACAAAATGACTATTATTTTGAAGTAAATATGTACCAAACATCTTTATGTCATAAAATTTTTTAAAAATTTAGTTGGAAATACAGATTTACAGACTTTGGAAAGAACATATAGAGCAGTGGTTGTCAACCTTCTGGCCCTTTAAATACAGTTCCTCATGTTGTGACCCAACCATAACATTATTTTCATTGCTACTTCATAACTGCAATGTTGCTACTATTATGAATCGTAATGTAAATATCTGATATGCAGGATGGTCTTAGGCGACCCCTGTGAAAGGGTCGTTCGACCGCCAAAGGAGTCACAACCCACAGGTTGAGAACCACTGATAGAGAATCCCATGTACCTCTCACCCTGTTTCCCCAATATTACATATTAGGTAATAATAGTACAATATCAAAACCAAGAAATTGATATTACTACAATATGTGTGTATAGTTTTGTGTCATTTTATCACACCTGTAGATCCTTATTACCATCACTGCGATCAGGATACAAAACTATTATATTTTGTTTTATCTTCTTGAATATAAAAATGCATTATCATTTCAGATAGGAAGTTCCAGACTATTTGTTCTACATACCAATAAATGAGTGTTGAAAATCATTAAAACCTAGGAAATTATCATCTAGCTAAACTCTACAACGGCCAACGTGAAATTCTAGCCAAACAGACAACAAACCCTTTGGTTAACCTCACAGTTCCTTGCACAGATGAAACATCATCATCATTCAGCAATCAGCTCTCCCCAACATGAGAGAGCAATTTTTCTCACACTGTTTATCAAAGACAACTAGCTGCGTACTGGACTACTCCAATACTATTTCCTGCTGAAAGTCCTGGACACACACGAACACACACCACACACACACACACACACACACACCACACACCCACACCCACCCACACCCACTACCTTTTTTTTTACTGTCATAAATAAAGTTTTAAGTAGGACCCCCACTACCTTTTTCAGGCAAACCAGAGCACCCCACAAGTGCTCTTAAGTCACCAGTGACGTTACCATAACAAAAGAGCACACAAATAAACATACTCGGAAAAAACACACAAATAAACCAGCCAGAGTCTTCTAAGCCAAACTTACTGTAGGCTTCCTTCTTTTCCCTACCAAGTAAATACCATCCAAATTGTTGCAAACTGCAATTCGGATTCAGCTGCCAGCGATGGAGAAATATATATGATCACCAAGCAAACAACCTAAAACCCCCCAGTCTTACCTTGGCCATCTGTGCCTGCACCCCATTGGCCTTGAGAGACGCTACCGCTTTCTGGGCGGCTGCGGGACTGTCAAAATCCACAAAACCGTAACCTGTGGAAACACAAAACCCCTGTTAGCACTGGCAAGTAGCTGGCTCTCCCCCACACCGAGGGAATGAGTGTTGGGGCTCTCACTTGCATAAAGGCTCTCCATCTCTGGTCCTTACTGTGTCTGGGAAAAAAATCACAATATGAAAAATAACGCGGTGGGCACCAAGCAGCGGTATCCGAAGTCTGTGTCTGCCTGAACCCGGGAGCCTTTTTCTTTGCGGCCCCACGTGCTTCCCAGCCCGCTTTCCCCTGGGCCCACGTGCTCCCGGGAGCTCACTCTCTGATTGGGGGAACCGAGAACAGCTTTACCTCCACTCACGTGTCTGTGGGCAAGCAAAAGTCTGCCAGGTGCTCCTGGTCTCGCTCAGCGGTTAATTTGCAACCTAGCAGGGTCTACAGCAATGGTTCTCAACCTTGGCTGCACATTAGAATCACCTGGGAATCTTTTTAAAATCCTGATTTCTGGGCCTCATCCTCCAGAAATTCTGTTTCTTTGTTACTAATGTTGTGGCCCCACCCCATAACAAAGAAACAGAATTTCCAGAGGATGAGGCCCAGAAATCAGGATTTTAAAGATTCCCAGGTGATTCTAATGTGCAGCCAAGGTTGAGAACCACTGGTCTAAATAGAAGAAGTCTGTGTACATCATTCTGGAGGTACCTATTTTCCATGAAGGGATGGAATACTGGAGCTGTTGTAGAAGAAAAACTTCTAATTTAAATAAATTCTTAGCCCAAGCCAGCATGGCTCAGTGGCTCAGTGGTTGAGCCTGGACCTATGAACCAGGAGGTCATGGTTTGATTCCAATCAGGGCACATACCTGGCTTGTGGGCTCGATCCCCAATGGGGGGCATGCAGGAGGCAGCTGATCAAGGATTCTTTCTCATCACTGATGTTTTTATCTCTCTCTCCTTCCCCCTTCCTCTCTGAAATCAATAAAAGTATATTTAAATTTTTTTAAAATAAAATAGTCTTATGTTTTGGAGATTGCTTTGGAGAGTGGGTTTACAGTCAGCAACCTGATTTACACTAATTTGGTGAGTAAGGTGATAATACATTATTGAACCCTGTTCTATTTTCCTGAAGGGATTTGTTGCAAGAATGAGAAACACAAAATGTTGAAAAATATTCTTTTTAGAGTTTCTAAAGTTAAATTTTCAAAACCTCAAAAAAGTTGCTGTTAATCAAAGTTATGACAAAATTTGACTATAAATATCACCAGCAACTTCAACAGTACCTGGCACACAGTAGGCATTCAATTAATACATGTTGACTACGTGAGTTAATAAATGTTGTTAATGAGAGTTAGGGTGGGAATGTGGCTCCAGCTGATTCCAAAGCCCATGCTAATTCATTACAGGACCTTCTCGCTCTCAATCACAGCTTCAGTAAATTATTTTAACTCTAAAGTGATCTGTGATAAACAATGACATAGATATTCAGGCTTCTTATAAAAATAAGGAGCTCGTTTTAAATTAAGTAAACAGACCCATTCCACTTGTTACTGCAGGACAATCTGAAAAGGACACAAGAGTCGCCTATACTGTTTACTGATTGTGTGCCTGTGTGTGTGTGTCGGGGGTGGGGGGGGGTGGTTAGATACAGAGTGAGGCCAAATAAATAGCCAATAAAACAGACTACATGCAAATTTTGCATGTCCATAAAATAGCAGATATGAGTCCAGGACTTAGCCTAACAGTAATGTAAGCTGCCAAGGATATTTAAAACCAAAAATACTCAAGAATGAGTAGGAGGGCAGCTTTGTTTGGCACATCTAAAAACCCACCATATGTAACCTACGCCTCTTCTCATTTATTAGGCAGGGATTGGCTCTGTACTTTTACTTGTCTCATTTAGGAGTTTTGAGGTGAGATACAAAGGCAACCTTACTAACCATGCACTGTGACACCCCCCTCCAAACAAGCAAAGAAATGTGCAAGAGAATTCAATTACCGAGTTGTTTCTTTTAATTAACTTTTTAATTTTCTCCCCTCAAATCCCTCCTTCTTTTTTCCTCCCAGCGTGTTATCCTAAAATGAACTTGTTACCCAGCAGTATACCATCAAATGCTGCTGAAAAGCTGGGCAGAGTAGCTGTGAAGTTTGTATTTCTAATCCAAAAGAAAGCCTGCTCTATAAGTGCTAGCAATTCTTCTCTTCCCACGAAACTAAAACTATGTGAATAACATGAGTAGCACCACCCACTAAGTTGAGTAAAATAGGCGAAAAAGCCAGACTAAAAAGGGGGAAAGAACAAAATACATCAAGCATTAGAGTTAGAAGGAGCAGAACATAAACTAAAATGCAGATGTTTTCTCCTATGTACCAGAATATGTGCTCGGTGGTTGCCATGTTGGCACCTGCTGAAACTAATGGCTTCACGGGCTATGGTCCTCATGTCCCTTCGGGTGTAAACATGAAGAAACTGAGGCTAGGGAGAGGTGACACAAATCGCAGGCTGCCTAACTGGCAGCTCTAGGATTTGAAGCCAAGTCTGCCTATGCCCCCCCCCCCCAACTATACCCTACAATGAACGGCTCCATACCCTCACTTTGCAAACTATGTCTAGTGGCCCCTGAGGTCCACCATGGAGAGAATGCAATCTTGAACATCTCTTGGATGTTTAAGTGAATGGAATAAAGCAGCTCCATTCAGTTAATGGCGTGGTTGAGTTCTCAGTAGAACTGGCTAAGTCAGGCACGCCCTTCCACCTCATGCTTTGGCCACTCTTCCTCATGCATTCCCATGCTCATTCTTTCACTTTATAATGAAACGCCATGTCAGGCACTTTGCCAGGCACAGGGCATATAATAGTGAATGAAATAGTTCCAGTTCTGCCCGCCCAGCGTGGCTCAGTGGTTGAGTGTAGACCTAAGAACCAGGAGGTCACGGTTCCCTTCCCGACCAGGGCACATGCCTGGGTTGGGGGCAAGCAGGAGGCAGCTAATCAATGATTCTCTCTTATCATTGATGTTTCTCTCTCTCTCCCTCTCTCCTTCCTCTCTGAAATCAATAAAAATATATTTTAAAAAATAGCTCCAGTTCCCATCCTTATACAGCATATAGTTGAGTTGGGGGATGGACATAAATAAAATAAACCATAGAAATGAATCTATACTGACAAAATGCTATGTCTCCCTTGAAAGAAAATGACAGCATATAATATGGTATCTAACTACTGATCCTTTATTATTTAAAGTCATAAGGAAGCAGCATTTCTTAAATTATCACTTTAACTGGCTTCTGCTAAAGACTGAATGGTTGTGGAGAAAGTGGGCAGCAAGAATGGAATCAGCAAGGTGACACAGAGGCAAATGGCAGCTGGCAATGAAGTGAATGACAAGAGATGGATGATTTGAATTATACGTTTAATTAACAGGAGTTGGTAATGGATTGACTTGGTTGGGAGTAAGGGGGCTACAGAGGACATGGATTATTACTGTTCTTTCTTGGCATAAGCCACTGGATGGCTAGAGATGTGATTTACTGAAATGGAGAGACTAGATGAGGATCCAGCAAGGGAGAGGAAAAACTAAAGTATCAATTTGAGACATGTTGAGTCAGAAATTCCTGTGAAATATCTAAGTAAAAATGTCAAGTAGCAGTTGGAGTTTTTAGGCTGTTGCACAAAAGAGGGCGTAAGATTGGATATGCAAATTAGGCAGTTAACAGCATAAATATGTGTAGAGAGATAGAAATAGATTAAAAAATGCCTAATGTAAGCAGAAACAAAGGGTTCAGGTTTAGAGTTTGAACAACTTCAACATTTAGGTGTCAACTGAGAAAATGAGTGTGCAAAGGAGGTGGAAGGAGAATCAGAGAGGAAGAAGGAAGTGAAGAGGTAATAGGATGTCTGAAAGTCAAGTTTAGAAAGTCTCCAAGGAGAGAGAGATGGGCTGTGCCAAATGCTACAGACTATGAGGAATATGAGAGCTTGGAAATGCTCAGATGTTCAGGAGCCTTAATGTCATTATTGTGATTTGCTTTAGGCAAGTGTGGGGATTGAAGCCTATCTGAGTGGAAGAGTGAGAGAGATGAGGAGGCAAAAAGAATGCTTACCAGCCTCATTGCCATGATCTTGGCTGGGATGGAGAATTAATAAACAGCTTTAGCCAGTGGTGAGTATGAAGTCTAATGAGCTGTCTGTTTAAAGATAGAAGATACTATGGTTTTCAGCCTTAGCTGCAAACTACAATCACATGGGGAGCTTAAAAAAATACCAATGCCCAGGATTCACCCCCAAGAAAATTAAATCAATATTTTTGGGAATGTGTCCCAAATGTTTACACACACACACACACACAGAAAGAGAGACCCTCGTGTGTTTCTGTGTGTGTGTATGTGTATAGGTATGTGTGTATCTATTCCCTGCTGATTTCAATATGAAGCCCCAGTAGAGAACTACTGAGTATTTATTCAAATTATTCAACAAATATTTTTTTGTTGTTGCACCTATTAAGAGATTGTTCTTGGTAATTTTGAATTAAAAAAATCAAGCAGATCCCTAATTAGTTTGAATTAGGGGATAGAGCATTTGGCCTGAGGACTGAAGGGTTCTGGGTTCATTTCCAGTCAAGGGAACGTACCTCGGTTGCAGGCTGGATCCCGGCCCTGATCAGGGCATGTTTGGGAGACAACCAATCGATGTCTCTCTCTCACATCGATGTTTTTCTCTCTCTCTTTCTCTCTCTCTCTCTCTCTCTCTCTCTCCCTCTCTCTCTCTCTCCCCCTCCCTTCCACTCTCTCTAAAAAGCAATGGGAAAAATGTCCTTGGGTGAGGATTAACAATAATAACAACAATGATCAAGCAGAAAGCAAGAGGTTAAAACTACAGGAGGACAAGGGGATAATTTCTATAAGAGGACCTATCCTTCACTCATTGTAAATGGAAGAAAAAAAAGACACTCTTGGTTACCAGGTGCTATTTATTTGTACCTCCCAGTTACTGGGACTCTACCTACCACACAGCCTGTGCTTGATACGTATTTGTTGAAATTACTTG